CCTCAGGACGAGGTTAATTCATGGCCTGAAGACCACACGGGCTGAAATCTCTGTGAAAAACCTGTTGGAGCTTTCCTAGCACAAACACAAGTGGTCTGTGGACAAATATTGACTTGTAGTGCTAACTCTCATGCGTGGCCACCCTTGGGAGTGCCCCAAGTTGGGCATCTGAGCACAGGTTGTTCAACCAGGTCAAAGGGATCCAGATGACCCTTTCCACCAGTGGCCCCTAAGTGCCTGCACTGCTTGGATGTTCAACTTTTGGGAGCAGTAGATCAAGGCTCCACCATGGCTCCTGGATTACTGTCCGAAGGATGCTGACATTCAGAGCCACACTCCAGGTGACCTCACACAGCACACACACACTCTCTCAGTCCTGCAGTCCGGGAGCCTGAAGGCAAGGTGTTTGGCAGGGCCATGCTGTCTTGGATGGCACTAGGAGGGCATTAGTCCTTGCCTCTCCCTGGTGACTGGTGGCTGTTGGGAACCCTTGGTGGCTCTTGGCCTGCAGATCCGTCTCTGTAGTCTCTGCCTCTACCATCACCTGGCATTCTCTCCTTGGGTCTGCTCTGTGACTTCATGTTCACATTTTTCTCCTCTTCTGGGGAGGCCAGCCTAAACCCAGTCCAGTCTCATCTCATCTGAATTTGATTCCATTTACAAAAGGAAATACCCCCCTTTCCAAGTAAGCCACACACACAGGTGCCAGGATTAGGGATTGTGTGTGTCTTTGCAGAGAGGGGACACAGAGCAACCCAAGATACCAGAGGGGTTTTCTATCCTCAGGGCAAAGTTACATAGACTTCAGTCTCCCCACTCTGCTCCCACACTGCCTCAGTGACCTGCTCCTAAAATCACCCATCTGGACACATCACCCCCTTTGGGTGTCCTGCTGCCCTCATACACCCAAAGTCCTACACGGCCTGGCCTCACTGCCCCTCAAAACTCAATCTGGAAGTCAGCTGCAGCTGACCTGCCCTGACGCCTTTCCAGATGCCTTCCCCGGTCCTGCAGCATCATGTCCTCCCCTGCCCATGGCCATCCCTGCTGGCTCACACATCACCCGATAGTGCACCTGCTGCTTCTCCCTCCTACCCACTCCCCCCTACCCCCGACTCAGCAGCAAGTCTCCAAGATCAGGTTCCTTTGTCTTATTTCCATCCAATTTCCAGGTTTAGCTCAGTGGCTGGCAAAAGCATATATTCCATTGAATGGATACATGAGAAAGTGTACAGAAAGCAAAACCAGTTAACATGGCCCAGCTGCCTTTCTAACTGTCTTGACAATCACAGGAGACTTTTCTGCATTTTGGCTAATAACTATTTACCACCAAATAGAACCTGATACAAACGCTCAGAGAAATGAGGTTTTAGAAATCATTGGTGTGCCCAGGTTTGGGCAGGACTGAAGACAAACCAGGGGGCAGTCTCTGCAGGGGTCTTGTTCTGACTCTGGGAATGACCAGCCTTGGGCCATACTGGAAATGACTACCGCAGTGCCTTCCTCAAGAAAGGTCAAAGGCCACCGAAAAAGTGGGCAAACCTGGCTACATTTCTTCTGCTTTGGCACACATGTGCTGTAACTCTTTCAGATGACTGAATGCCTCAGCCCACGAAAGAGTAAAAACTGTAATTCCTCTCCTCTCTCTCTCTCTTTTTCTCTCTCCATTGTGTTTAGCCAAAACAAGCTGTGAAAGAATGTAAAATATATCATTTTGTTGGCACTTGTTCACAAGTGAGTCAGTGAGCTTGCTTGCATTTACAACTAAAATTGGATTCTAACCTTCCAAAAATTTATGACAACTGCTCCTTCTTGTGGCTTCAATGTTGACATATAATTAATTTAGGATTTCTTCCCAAGGCTTCCTGTCCAGGTTTGTACCTGCCACAGAAATATTCTTGAGAGTCTATCTAACAGCTGGAGCCCTGAAAAAAAAAAGAAAAGAACCACTGAAGCTTTGTAAAGTGTTATGGGCTGTGCCAACAGGAAGAGCCCAAGAGAAAGTGTGAGGCTGCCAACATGGCTGGCTGCCGGAGGTGCCCCAGGTTGGAGACTTGGAATTCACAGCTGCAAGGAAGCTTGGGTGTTCTTTCTGCCACTGTTGCTTCCTGACCCCCTGAGATGAACTCCCTCCCTAGCGTGCATGCCAGCCGGGAGAGTAAGCTGGGCACAAGCACCCCAGCCTGGGTCACTTGGTCATCATACCCCCGCTCTTTGCTCTACAGCCCATCCTGGGGAGGGAAGTGAGGAGAACCACTGCTCACCAGATGCCAGTTATGTGCCGGGTGATGTATTAGACGGGCGGGGGCAGGGCAGGCTTTACAAGCAGGGTTCATGCCATTTTACTTCCTCAACCACCAGAGAAGGTTGGAGTTAACTATCTTCCCTTTGGAGATGAGAAAATGGAGACGTAGAGAGATTCATTGATAACTTGGGTGCGCCTAACCTAGAAACGGGAAGAAGAAAGAGGTGGCTCCCCTGTAGCGAGCTCCTCCTGTTAGTCCTCATCTCGTGCTCTTTCAAATACATCAGTCCAAAATGTGCTGAGTGCTGAGGCTGAAACACACCTCTGCACAGCAGCCAGGACAATTCCTGACACAGCAGGCATCCGACAAAGCTTGTGAGGCACAGGTGCAGCTCTGTCCTCAATCCCCAAGGGAGTAGACCATGTGCTCACCAGGTCATGCACACTTAGGAAACCGCACAGAGAGCCTGTCCTCCCGAAGGGCAGCCTAGCGAATGATCAGATGTGCACCCGGTAGGCACATAAAGGTGTTGAAGTTCTCAAAAACAGGTGCACTGGAGGGCAGAGATAGGGATGGCCGTCAAGGCATCTGTCTGGAAACAGTGGCTGAGAAAGGACACCCTGAAGAAGTGGCCTGCAAGCTGGCATCTAAGGATATGCAGAAGCTAGCCAGGGAGTAGGGCAGGGAGAGGGTGCTCACAGTAGAAGGAGTTGCATGTGCAAAGGCCCTGCAGCAGAACTCACAGTATCCCCATCCTAAGGCAGGAAACTTGGTGCATGGCAAGGAGCCATCTCTGCAGTTCCTCAGGGCTCACAGTACCCGCTTCGACAGAACCCCAAGGAAGTTTTCTACAGGAAAGCTGAGGCCTCTCTGGTATATTCAGGGGTCACACGGGGGCTGCCAGAGGACCGTTGGGGTCCTGCTGCGATGACACGGCGCTGACTTTACATGCCCACTTTGTCACGTCTCAGCCTCTTGATCTCCATCCCTCTCCTACCCAAAGATAATTCCCAGCCCTCCGTCATGGATGCCTGTCTTAGAAAAGTTAAGCCAAGTCTCTGCCTGCCAGGGCCTTGGGATTTGGTAGGGAAACTTCCAGCCAGGTCATATATTACATAAATGCATGTTCCTCTCTTTCATCTTCTGAATGACTGGTGACATTGGTCAGGGTACCTGCACCTGTGTAATAGCTGGAACCGCCATACCAGATGAGATAATGAGTCCATGTGAGAGGCCCACAGTTAATGCTCTCTCAGTCCTGTACCATTGTACAGTCCTTCAAGGTCAGACATTATCATGGGGTTTAAATGTAAATTCAAACCAGAGAGTGTGTCTGCCTTTTGGCACCATGCAAATGGAGCTGGTGTTAGTTTCTCCCTGAAATCACTTCTGCTGTTCTCAAAATCCTTATTGCTTAAGTGGAAGATGCCTCTGTTTCCCCTTGAAGTTATCCATTGGGCAGTGGGCTCACTAAATGGGCTCTGTGCGAGTGTGTTTGCATGGATGGATTGAACTTTTCCTCTGTGTATTTCTTAAAATCTGCACCATGGAAAACAGCTAGTAGGTACTTGCTGGGGATCTGCCATTATAGAATTCATACTTGAAGACCATAGTTTTGGTTACTTTGTTACCCTGCTCCCACTCTCACGTGCAGCACGAGATCAGTGATAGTGTAGACGCTCCAAAAGTCTTGTTTTGATAACGTCCTGGTCAAATCTCCTGACCAAGTAGCCCTACCCAACAGAACGACATTATGTGGCGGTTCTGTGTAGGAACTGGAAAAGCAGCTACAATGACAATGACCTGAGCCAGTTGTCCTGGGTGCCATTTTGTTTATACACCAGTAAAAAAAAAAAAAAAAAAATGCCTTTGGATAAAGAAGCTCTTTAGCCTGAGAAGTCAAGTTCTACCAGAGGCAGTGGATTTCATGTCAGATATTCCCCAGGCATTGCAAGATTACGTTTGTAAGGATAAGGGCCAGAAAGGCAGGATTCCTCATGGTGGATGGGGGATGGGAGTACCTCCACAGTAGATATCTTGGCCATTGCTGGGGGAGGCGCTCATTTGGAGCAAGTCCATCTTTGCAAGTCCATCTTTTCTTCCTGTAAAGACCGACCCTCCCTCAATAATCTTTTTAGCATCCCACTCCCTCAAAGACAGCTTGGACCCCAAAGCCCTTGTGTAGCCAGAAGACATGTGAATATCCCATCAGTTTCATAGAAGCAATAGATTGGAATCCTCCAGATAGTTCCCTCAATCTCAGGGATGAAAAATGATCAATCATTGCATTCCTCGTAAATGAAATTAAGATGTTAAGATATATTGCTTGGGGCTTCTGAATGGAAATTCTGCCATTGAATCCTCAGTAGAAAACATATTGCTTTGGAATCACTGGGAAAAGGGGAGATGTTCTGGATCTATGTTAAGGCAAAACATGCGATGGAGAAGAATGCTTCAGACATGCATTTTTTTTCATATTTAAAAAGTGATTAATCTTCCCAAATATCAAAAATCCAGGGGACTCCAGTGCAGACTGGAATGGGAAGAAGGATGCATGGGCTTTAATCTTCTAGAGTGAAGACTTTGAAAGGACATGGTAGAAGGGTTTACACTGGGAGACAAAAATTCCTGATCATCTATTTGAAAGCACGGAGAGACTGGGCAAAACTCTAAGAAGTCATTCCTTTCCCAAATGTCTCCTTACATCCCTGGAGGTGTTACTTCCTCGGAAAATCTTTCCAGTCCTCCTGAAAAATCAACTCAGAGTCTTGTGTGTTCCTGGAAGCTGGGGTTATGACATGTCCTACCTGCTCCACCGTGCGGCTTGGACTGTGTCGCTTCACTGCCCTGCACCTGTTCCCAAAGCAGTTCAGTTCATTCATGGTTTAGCAACCTCTCTGGGTGTGTGAGGACTGTTAAACCAGAATTCTGTGTTCAGTGAGTATTGGCAGGTCATTCTTGTTCCTGTTCCTGAGCGTGGTTTTCATTCATTCATAATCCCGTACTCAATTTTTAATCGCTTGTCGAACATAATGTCTGGCATGCTTATGGGATTGGCATTCTGTAGGAGTCAGAGCTGTTGGCTGGCTTGTTGGGCCACCCATCCTTAGTACTTATGTGTGATTTCTGGTAGATGCTTTAAAAAATGTGAGAAGGAAGAACAGATCAAGAGAGGAAGGAGAGATGGGGAGGTACAGTGCAGAGATGGAGGGAGGGGAGATTCTTAGAGCTTCCTAAGCACAGCTTGGAGACACTCTGACATTCTATCTGAATTGCTTATATTTCCTTCAAGACCCAGTTTTACTTGCAGCTCCACACAGCAAAACCAAGTAGCATTTCTTCTGTTCTTTTATGTATGGAGGGTGAGCATGAGGGCTCAGAGGTCCTGAATGTCATTCAAGGTCAACTTCTCATCCTCTGGGCTGGTTCCATTCGCCTTTTCCCTTTCCACCAATGCCAGGTTCTGTACCCCTCCGGAAATTCCTGTGTTAGGTTCAGGGAAACTGTGATCTGGTGGTTGCTGGGAAAATGCAAAGATGTTTTCTGCAAGTTCAAATTAAAATACGGTTCATCAAGTCCAAAACTCCTGTCAGCTGATATCTGTCCAAAATAGTTCTTTTTTCTTAAAAAAAAAAATTTTTTTTTGTATTTTTTATGAAAAAGGCAGATTTAAAGAGAAGGAGAGACAAAGATTTTTTTTTATCTGCTGGTTCACTCCCCTGGTGGCCACAATGGCCACAGTTGCGCTAATCTGAAACCAAGAGTCAGTGGCCTCTTCCAGGTCTCCCATGTGGTTCCAATTCTTTGGGTCATCTTCCACTGCTTTCCCAGGTTATAAACAGGGAACTGGATGGGAAGTAGAGCATTCAGGACCTGAACTGGCAGCCATGGGGTATCCCAGCACTTGCAAGGCAAAGGATTAGCCATTCGAGCTATAGCTCTAGGCCTCCAAAATCTTTTTTTTTTTTTTTAATTGGATTTCAGATTGCTGACAAGGATAACTGTGTTTATGGCCACAAAGTTGCCTACTTTTAGCTGGTCATCCTTGCTGTGTGCATACAATCTTTAGATATTAAATAAAAACAGACTGACTGGGCTATTTTAGCTGTTGCCACATCATAATGCTAATGGGTTTAGCGAACACAACCAACTCAGACCAGGGTGTCTTAGCAGCCAAAGGACCAACTCCCAGCACAGTTTTTCTGCCCAAGTTGTTAGAGGCTTAATTCTTTGCAACTCATTTTGCCAACTGTCTTGGCCTCTGTTCCTAACCTTGTCTCTAACCTGATACAACAAGTCCACATCCCCCACCATTCCCTGCTCCAGGAGGTCCGCAGCCACTGGGGGTCTCCAGGTGGGTTAGATTGGGGCACAACCTTCTTCCTTCTTCAGCTAGTCACGGCTAATACGCATTCTGGAAATGGCCCAACCTGAGGCAAAAGCAAAGAGCCTCTTGACTCACCATTCATCTGGAAAAGTGGAGTGTTTCCTGTCTCTCTTCCCTTTCAAGAAAGCTGGCTGCCAAGGCGTTTGCACCTTAAAGGCGGGTTCCTTACATCCCAACCAAGCCATCAGACCTGCCCCAGATACAAGGTCAAATAGCTCCATTTCTGAGCAGCCAAATCAAGCCCTAGGTTGCAGGACCTTGGTGATGAAAAGGTTAAATTGCTCAAAAGGCTAGATCCTTGGTTTCCTGCCCACACTTGCTGGGGCCTAAGGCACTTCTTGCTGTTGGGGTTGGGGGCGGTGGGGGGGGGGGAGGTCTCGCCTGGACCCAGGTGGCCGACAGGCAAACCATGTTATTAAGAAACAGGGATCGCAAAACCTTGATCTTCAAACGAGACCCCTAATTAGTCACCAGCCCCAGAGTAAATGGCATTCCACCTCAGCTAGGCGGGAAGGGCGCCTTCAAATCCTGCAGACTAATTGCCATTATTGGCTCGATGAAGATCCTGTTGTAAACACTTGTCATCCGAGCCACTTCTGGTCGGTAAACTTGAGATATCAAACTGTTCCTTCATGTTTCAAATTCTCCAAAATGCCTCTCCGGGGGGGGGGGCCCTTTTAAGGAGGGGGCATCTCTTTCCTGAATGGGACAGCCCTCTTAGCGCCCAGTGCAGAGGCGATGTCTCTCTGGAGCTCATAAAACTGAACCCTTTTTAGTAAAGAGGTTTTAAAAATGTTTTCACTTTGATTCTCGTTTAGACTTCAAAAAGGCCTTCATGGAAGGGTGGGGAGTGTTTATCATGAGGATAAGGGGCTTACACTCAGAGCCCCTCTAGTTCACAGACCTTTGGCAAGACCCCGGAAGGCACCCCCTGTTCATGTGTTCATGAGCCCAGACCTTTTTTTTTTTGCCAAGGTTGAATCAGCCAGTTATTTGAATATTCTTTTTTTTTTTAAGAGTGATTTTATTTGAAAGGCAAAGTGAGAGAGAGAGAGAGAAGAGAGAGAGAGAGTCAGACATACTCTGTTGGTTCACTCCCAAATTGCCAAAAAAGTTAAGTGTTTGCCAAGAACCATGAAATTCGTCCGGTCTTTCGCTGTCGGTGGCAGGGGACTCCATCCTTTCCCAGTGCATTAGCTGGAAGCTGGATTGGAAACGAAGCAGCTGAAACAAAGTGGCCTTCCTGAGGGGTGCTAGCATTGCAGCTGAAGATCTAACTTGCTGACCTACAAGACCAGCCCCTATTCCTTCCCTTAAAGAGGGCTGGCTTCTCACATGGTAAAAACATTAGGAAGCCCCAAATCAAGGTACGTTCCACAATACGCGCTGTGTTTCTCAACTTCTGCATTACATAGCTCCTGTTGGTTCAAAAGATAAATACATTCTCCCCACTCTTTGACTTGTTGTGTCTTGACCCTGTTGGCAGTTCGGGCGGAGGGAAGGTTAAACTTCTGCGGGTTCTATCCAGAGTGCCAGGCTTGGTCTCAAGTTGCTCTTGACCCAGGAAAATGTTTTAGGAGCTTGGCGCAAAGAGATCCTGGGTCCATCTCCTTCAAGGGAAGTCTGAATACTGTCCACCTCACATGGCAGGGAGTGGGGCAGGTGGTTGGGAGCTGTCCCACTGTCCCAGGATTGCTGGATTTCCGTCATCTGGACACTTGCACGGCAGTCAGTGTGTCAAAGTGCAAGAGTGGGGGAAAGAAAGTCATAAGTAATTGCTGAAGATTCCTGGGACAATGGGAGTTTTCCATTCAATGTTCAGACTGATTTTTGGCAAGCGTAAGCAGGCTCTGAGCTGACATAACCCACGTGAACCTCCACAGGCGAGGTGTGCGACGAGCCTGAAAGGCATATGAGGCAGCTTCCAAAAGGTCCCGGAAAACTAGAATTGAAAGGTCATGTACTTTTCCCAATAAACTTTTCAGAAACCCCTTGCATGATGTCCACCAGCTCTTGTCTCCCAAAGCTAAGCTTCAGAACTGTTTATTCAGCCAGCTAAGGAGTCAGCATTACTCAGCAATAATTCCTTTGTGTGGCGAATAGTTGCGGGTGGGCCAGAAGGTAAGCTTGCACTAGCCAAGGCTTAAGGTGTTTGCGCATCGGCTCCCTTTTTCTCTGGAGGCAAGCCCATGGCTCTCCCTCTGCAGGTAGCCTCAGAACTTCAGGCAGCCAGGAGAGCACACAGGTCCTGACCCTTCCAGAAGCTTCTCAGCTTCCTCACCTTCCCCTTTGTCCTGAACTTCTGTTTGTGGGATCTGCCCTCATCTCTGGGTTGTAAAGCGGCACTCTACTCCCCAAGCCCCAAAGATTCCCAAATTACCATTTTAACCCATTTGTCTCCCTGATTTGAGATGGTAGAAAAATGGATGCCAAATTTTTGGGGGTCTTTAACTAGTTCAGAAAAGAAGGCCTAACATCGGTTTTGACAACAAACAAAACCAGTTTTTGTTCTATCAGTTATGTTTAAAAGATTCCAATTTCAAACTAAACACAATGTGTGGTTATTCTGTCAGCGATTTATATAGCCACCAGGGCGCCACATTTACACACTGCATACATCATTGTATTTTTTAAATGTACTTAATGAACTTTTTTTTTCTTTTCTAGTAACTACTTCATTGCCTTAAATGAATGCATTCCAATAGAATTTGTAACAAATGACCACTTTGTGTTTGCATTAATGCCAAACACGTTTAACAAATTTTTAACAAGGAACCCTGGCAAAATGCCAAACTCCTAGAAGGACACTGAAGGAATGCTATAAATTTAAACTAGATTTTACCTTTTCACTGAGCTCAGCAAGTGTCTTAGGTGTCTCACTGTCACCATTGCAGCATTTCTATTTTATGCCAGATAAGCTGTACATTTCCATTAGTTTTATTACTTTGGTGGTACTTCTTTCTAGAGGACTTTTCTGTCTGTGCAGCTAGGTCTGAAATCATGTGGAAGCAGCTTAGAAACTGGTCTTTACATCTACAGAACCGTTTGTGTCTTCCATGACTGTTAGACGCATGGGTTCATATTCTTACTGACAAACATGTCACTGTTTAAAACTACACCATCAACAATTGACTGAATAATCAATTAGACCAAGAGTTGTCAAGTGGGGACAATTGTTGCCCCAGCCCTATAGGGATATTGGGTGCTATCTCAGGACTTGGTGGCAGCCAGGTTGGGAGAAAGTAGTGCTGCCAGCATGTACTGGGGACCAGTCAGGGATGCTGTACACAGAGCAAAGAACTCTCTGGACCCCAGCTGTCCATGCGCCAAAGACCGAAATCTTGCAGTAGAGTCACAGAAGGCTTTGGCTTTGATCAGTCCCTCAGGTTCAAGGAAATATTTTCTTGTTGTTGTTCTTGTTGAAGGCAAAGAAAAAGAGAGGGAGATCTTCCATCTGCTGGTCATGCCCAAATGTCCATGCCAGCTGGGGCTGAGCCAGGCCAAAGCTAAGCGCTCAGAACTCAGTTGAACCTCTCGTGTGGAAACCCGAGGCCTTGAGCCATCCCATGTTGCTCTCTAGGGTGCACACTAGCAGGAAGCTGGTCTGGAAGTCAGACCCAGAGCACTCTGAAACACAACACGGGCATCCCAAGGGGTTACTTTAATGAACTGCACCTCACAACACCCAACCCAGAGGGCATGCTTTGGAGGAAAAATTATAAACAAACACACTTCTGTTCAATTGGTGCATTAAAAATAACACAGAATACCTAATATTAGTGTAGAGAAGATTTCTGATTTTTCTGTCTTGTGTTCTGCCCTTAAGATAGGAAAAAAAAAAAAAAATCCAGTCCATGACACTTTGACTCACAAAGTAGACTGTAGCGGTGCTGGAGCTGACGGGCGGCCAGAGAATGTGCCTAACCAGCCAACCATGCCCATGCCTGCCTGCTGGGAGGAGGCCATTGCTGACCATTGGAAATGATCTCTGAGTCAAGGCCAGCAGGAGGCAGGGCTACATATTCATGAGATCATTTTCTGTGTGTTACAGACAAGCACTTTTCATAGTTACACAATTGTGCAGTGAATAGGATACAGGGACTCTGGTATAACATTAAAAGAAATCATCTAGTTTACTCTCCCAGGGACCACCAAGGCCAGCTCTGGGCTAGGCTGAAGCCAGGAGCCTGGAGCAGCTTCCGGGCTCCCATGCGGGTGGCAGGAGCCCAGGTGCTGGCACCATGCTCTGCTGCTGCTAACGGGTACGTTAATAGGGAGCTGAATCGGAAGTGGAGCAGCCAGGACTCAAACTTGCACCCCATTTGGGATGCCGGCCTCCTGTTGGCCCCTTAGGAGAATTTTTAAGATAAAAATACTAACCACATCTTACAGGTACTGTGAAGAAACTGTAATGACTGGAAAGGCGGCAGACAAAAGACTGAGATGCGGGGAACCTTGGCCTCCAGGTCTGCGCACTGAAAAAGAGCTGAGTTCAAGTGAGGGGCCCCGGGAGGCTGGGGAATTTGACCCAGAGCACCCAGGACCCCTGGGCCGCAGCTCTCTCAGCCCCACAGAGGGCCGTGAACCTAGTGGGTCGGTACCTTGGTGCTGTCAGGCTTGTTTAAGATAACTCAGGCGCAAGCTCAGAGGGCGGTAGCAGACAGCGTGCACCAAACATTCGCTATTAATAATTCTGACCACTATAATAATGACAAAAATAAATCCTGAGGAGACAAAGCAGTAGAGGCTGCCATTTTGTTGTACACATCACATATCAATCTGAATCCCTTCATTTAAAATATTATGGGTGAGTCACACCCAGCGCACGGGAACAGAAGATGAAATACAGACTCCCTTAGCTGCTGCCGCTGCGCTGTGAGCAATGCTGTCCCTAACAGCAAGCCTGCATAGAGCTGGCTGGGCCAAACCCGGCCCCCAGCCCCAGCCCTAGCCAAAACCCTGGCCCCCAGCCCCAGCCCTAGCCACAATCCCAACCCCTAGCCCCAGCCCTAGCCACAACCCCGGCCCCCAGCCCCAGCCACAATCCTAGCCACAACCCCATCCCCCAGCCCCAGCCCTAGCCACAACCCTGGCCCCCAGTCCCCAGCCCTCGGCCCTTTGGGCTCTGAAGTGTTACATTTTATTGCCCCATGGAGCTGCAGGAGGCCACTCTCAAGGTAAAATGTTGCTCTCCAGTCATATTTTTGAATTACGGCTTCAAGGTGGTTGCTCCTATCAGGAAAATTAAATGATTTAACATAATTTGTTGCCACTTTGATCACAACAATAATAAATAAATCTTCATGAGGAAAATGGGAAGTCCATTCCACCTCATTTTAAAAGATGCTAAGTAATAACACAGATGTAGTTATGGACTTTTTTTTTTTTTTTTGTAAGCAGAAACCAACCACTCTATGCAGCTTTCCTTGGGTTTCTTGGTGGAGCTGTCCTGCCCGCCACCCCACCGCCCCCAGAAGGAGCAGCTCTTCCCCGACCCAGGCTAATTAGTCTATGGGGCTGGCCTGTTGTGTGGGGCACCATGTGCAATGTGTTAGGGGCATCCCCGGCCGCCGTGAATGGGTGTCTGTTCCTGTACCTGGGGGCACGCTGCACACATTTGGAAAGCACATGGAGCATAATGGACATTAACGCAGATGTCAGAAATAGCCTGCGTTTTACTACTGTTATTAAACAGTTTCCCCTTTAACCCCTCCGTGTTTACCAAAGACCCCGTTCTCCCAGCCTGTTTCTGCAAATCACTACTGAAGGGGCAGGAGAAGAAAGCCATAAGCGGGCAGGTGTCTTTATTCCAAAGAAAAACAGTCTGAAGGAATATTTGTGAGACACTGCACATTTATAGGCTGCCCTTGCGGACGCACGGCTCACTGGGGTGCAGAGCTGCCCACCACCCCCACCTGAGCCAAGGCGGGAGTGTCAGCTCCACCCCGCCTCGGTCAGATGGCTCCCCACAATGGAAATCACTTTGTGTTATAGTATCATCCTAGTTACACAGTGTTTGGTCCAACTAAAAAAATGCAAACAAAGCAGAACAAATCCTAGAGAGGCTCTAAAACCCTACCCTGGGAGAGGTGAGAGTGATGTTCTCGTATAGAGAGTTGCAAACAAGTTTGCATGTGAGTGCATGTCCACCATCAATAGCATCAGGCTGTTATTAAGCCTTGCAAAGCTCCCTTGAAGCCGGAAATTGTAATCTCCACATCCGCCTATTGACTTGTGTTGTCTGTCTGTCTCCTGTCCCAGACCAGCACCAAGCACATTGCCTGGCACAAGATTGGTGCTAGACGAACCTCCTCTTGCTGCATCGCAGCGTAAAACAAATGTAGAAGAGAATGTCCACGGATCCCCCCCTTCACAGTTCGGCTGAACTTCCAGCCAGAGTTCTGGGGAAGCACGCCCCTCCGAGCTCTTTCAGGTTTTGCTAAAATCCAGTTCTTTGCAGCCATGGGACTAAAGTTTCCTGTTGCTGGTTGTCAGCTAGGGGGCGTTTCTCCGCCCCTGACCCCCATCCAGCATGCTGAAGGAAGCTCTCAAACCTTCCTGCACCCCCCGCCTCTCTACCTCCAACTTCACCTCGTCACAGGGGGGTCCTTATCACATTTCAGAGTCCCTGACTTTCCTCTCCGGCTCCAGCAGAAGCAAGGCCTGCTATGAGAGAGCTCCTACCAGGAAATTAGGTACCTTTAGATCCATGTCCCTTCAGATTCAAGTCAAATGATGAGTAACTTTCATTACAGGCACAAAGTCGCAGAATCTTGGCCATCAGATAGGTTGTCTCAGCATCTGACATTAGAGTAGGAAATCCGAAAGGACCCTAGGTTTTAGGATGCAGCCTCTGCATTAAGGTTCTGTGTAATGTGAATGTAAGTGAATGTGCCTGAAACCATACAAGGCACAGGAATCCTAAGCAAGCGAGCCCACCCGCTTCCTGCCCTCATACAGCTTATTGTCAAGACCCAACTGTTCAGTAGAATTACTCTGTAAGCCGCAGCTGTAATTTTTAGTTTACTAGTGACCATGTTTTGATTCAGAGCAACAAACAGATGACAATAATGGAAATATATGCTACTTGATCCCTTGTCTCAAAAATGTAATTTAAATAAGCGCACATAAATGTCACGGAGATAATTCATCTTTCTTTTTCTCGTATGAAGTCTGTAGATTTTATGCATTGGAGTAGCACACAGTTCTAGTGCTCGGTGGCCCCAGGTGGCCTGTGGCTTCCAACTGGACAGTGACGTTTAGACAGCTCCCCTGCTGTGTGCGTGAGGCTCTGGGGAGACAGGCTGAAGGAGGAACGGAAGGGTCTGCTGTGTCAGGGCCTGCCTGCCCTGTCTGTGAGACGAGGAAGGAAGAAGGCTTTCAGATGACAAGAGGCAGTTGAGCGCAGGCGGAGCCTGTGCAGTGTACAGAAGAACGTGGGAGTCAGAGAGGACTAGAGAGAGAAAGAGTGAGGGGGGCCAGATGGGGCCCAGCCCACAGGGCCCAGAGACCCTCCGTCCTCCATGGCAGAGTGTGGGCAGCGGGATTGTAAACAGGGTTGTAAACAGGCGCTATAAAGCGGGTAAGTGAGGAATGCAGGATGCAGTGGCTGTCACTGTTGAAATAGCGCTGGTGGCGGCTGCTCCGGGAGTTGGGTGCTGGGAGAGCAGGCAGCAGGGAATTGGGGCCCCTGTAGCTCCCCAGGTGAGGGAGGACTGGCTGGGGGTGGGGAAATAGTCTCACAGTGGGGGGCAGCTCTGATTGCCTCCTGGCTGGAGGTCAGGATTCCTTTTGCTGTTTTATTTAAGCCTATGTTTCTTTGCTCCTCAACGAGGAGGTGGCGTCTGTGTTTCCAATGGCTGGCAAGGCAGTCCTTCTCCATCCCTTCCCCTCCACCACCACCACCAGCAGCCCCTTACCCAAGCCCTTTGAGGGCTGCTAGTGAATGGATTGTTTGATTGAAGAAGTGGCCAGACTTTCTGAGAGTTCTCTTGCCTACAGCATAAACCTCGCCAGCAAGCAATGCAATTGAGAGGTGCTGCGTTCTGCCTGGTGACCTGTTACCCAGCTGGAAACCTTTCTTGCGACTGAATAAATTATTGTTCTTTGCTATTTTATCTTGGAAAAACATCAAGCACATTGGACATTCACTGTAATTATTTTTTGCTCACTTCCCATGTGTTAGAAAAAAAATGCCAATCGTTACATTTTAATACTGCTTTGGGTTTCTCTTTACCTTTTAATCATGTGGCCTTTTAATGTATTGGTCACCCTTTAAAAGGATGATTAAGAAATGCTTAATGCACAAAAGAATTAGAGCTATGCATAGCACATGAAACAGAAAGCGTGCTCTGACTTAGATTTCTCATACAAAATTTGCAGAGATTCGATGTGCCAGAATGGTAATATGATCTCTTCTAGGAACTCCCTAACTTTCTGCCTCTGCAAAAGTCATATTTTTGTTGTTGTTATTGTAGTTGCCCCGATTCAAGTTTCTTACTCAGAAGGGTTACACCAAACCCCTCAGTATGAATTTGCAGAGTTCATCCGAGCTTCATATTTTGTTTGCACTGCTTAGTGATGGCCTGAAATAGCTGCCTACCTGTGCAGCTACTGGTGGTGTCCTCGTTGTTAGTCGGTGTTTCAGCCACTGGATCAGGCAGCTCAGGCTGCTGTGTCTACAGATGTGCCTTTTCCCCCTCCCTCCCCTGCTCCCCAGGCAGCCGCGCTGTGGGCACTGCCATGTGCTGCAGTCCCTCATACTCAGAGCCCTTCACTGGGCCAGCGAGGAAAACTTAAGGTCCTTCTGGATAGCTCCTCCCCAGGGTCTGAAATAGGAAATAGCTGACCTTCCTCTGTATGTTTGTTAAGCATGAACACAGGTTAGTGAGTGTGGAGATGAAATCTGCACTGTTCAAAGAGATGCTAGCATTCTTTTATGTTTTTTTATGGTGAACAAAATGCATATAATATAAATCATATCAGCGTAGACATTTTAAGGGGATATTTCAGTGGTATTTGTAACTTCACAGGGTTGTGACTCTTCACTACTGTTTGTTCCACCCTAAGCAGAAATTCTGTCTCCAGAGACAAAAATCTGCTCCCCTCCTCTGCCCCCATCAACTCAGGCATGGTAACCTCCAATCCATTTTTCTCATCCCCATGTTGGCTGTTTTAGTAAATGGAACCACGTTTCTACAGAATTTGTCTTTTTGTGTCTGATCTCTTTCACTGCCATGATGTATTCAAAATTTATCTATGGTGTAGCATGTTTCAGAACTTCCTCACTTTTATAGCTGAATCATAATTCAATCAATATCTACACATTGTCCATTGTCCATTCATTTGTTGGTGAACATTTGACTATTGTGAATAATGAGGCTGTGACAGCCCAGTAATAAAAAAAAAATGACAGCAGTAAGGCTGGAACTTCTGATATATTCCTGGGACATGTCCATAACCTCATGTTCTTAGAAAGTCCCAAAAGGGGAGTGAGAGCACTTAGTGCAAGAGAATATCTCAGTCCAGGTTGAGATCTTGCTTTTCTTTTACAGCTCATGTGGTAAGCTGATTGCCCTAAAGTGGCTTCTGTACATGAAACTAGAAGTATCTGTTTTCCTGGTTCAGCTGTTCGCTACTAGATGGATGCAGCTCTTATTGATTGGATAGCTTAAAACTGTACAATGCTTAAGCAGCTTGGGTGTCTGTGTTTCACACCACTACAGTTGGTTGGATAATTTGTATTGTGCACTGATGTAAGCTTGGTTGATTGATTCATAACATTTATCATTGCTCTCTTATTTGATTGGATGATCAGTGCTTTAAAACCCCTTAAACCAGCTGGTTGGTGCTGGTCCCCTCTTCCACTTCAATGGTACTAGACAACCCACTGGTCAGTACCCGCCAATGAATAAAAACTCCTGAGCTTCAAAAGTGTGCCTTCAGCTCATTTCTGGGATTTATTTGGTCAACTTGCAACAGTGCTACAAATAATTGTGTATGGCATGTGTTTAAGTTACTTTGGGTCTATATCCAGGAATGGAAAGGCTGAGTCCAGTTTCCTTTTAAATTGTTCTTGTTAGGTGGTTATTAAGTCAATGTTAAGTGTTTGGTGCTTTAGCTATCTTTAGGTCTGTCATCTTAAAAATCAATTTTAGAGGTCAGCATTGTGGTGCACTAGGTTAAACTGTTGCCAGTGACATTGGGCATATCATACTGGAACACTAGTCTGTGCCTTGGCTGTACCACTTCTGATCCAGCCCCCTGCCAAAGTGCCAAGAAAAGTGCAGATAATGGTCCAATTAGTTGGTTCCCTGCTACCCTCACGGTTGACCCAAATGGAGATCCAACATCCTGGGTTTAACCTTGCCAGTCCAAGCTATTGCAAACCAGATTGGAGAGTGAACCAGATCTCTGTTGATGACTCTTCTCTCTCTGCCTCTCAAAAAAAAAAAAAAATTTTCAAAAAATGTAAAAGCCTTGGTTCCAGCGTGGTGGCCTAGTGGCTAAAGTCCTCACCTTGCACGTGCCAGGATGCCATTTGGGCACCAGTTGTGTCCCGGTGGGCCTACTTCCCATTCAGCTCCCTGCTTGTGGCGTGGGAAGCAGTCGAGGATGCCCCAAAACCTTGAGACCCTGCATCCGCATGGGAAACCAAGAAGCTCCTGGCTCCTGGCTTTGGTTGGGCTCAGCTCTGGTTGCTGCAGCCACGTGAAATGAATCAACAGATGGAAGATCTTCCTCTCTGGGTGTTTGCCTTTCCAATAAAAATAAATAAATCTTAAAAAAAAATTTTTTTTTAAATCCTCAATCATTGTACTGAAATGTGGAGAACAAAACACCAACCCCATGATCTGATAGTTCAGACATCATCATTAGAACATTCTGGCACATTTTCGTTTCTTTGTGTATGGCAAGAAACATTAGCACATTG